AGACATTGGCTTGCATCTGTCATATGATTGAGTAGGAAGTCTGTACAAGTTCCGTTCTCCCTCCAGTTCTCCAGTTGTAACCCTATTATACCTACTACATTGTGAATAATGCTACTAGAAATATGTTGTACTAGTACCTGTTTGAATCCCTGCTTTTATTTTGAATTCCTGATCATGTGATAATTCTAGGTTTAAGTTTTTTGTTTTGTTTTGAGAGGAGATATTGCTGTGTTGCCTAGACTGGTATGTTTAACTTTCAGGAAACCTCTAAACTATTTTCCACTGTGATTGGTCTATTTTACATTTTCACCAGCAATGTACAAGGACACCAGTTTCTCAACATCCTTGCCAACATTTATTTTCTAGGGTTTTCTTTCCTTCCTTTCTGTAAATTATTATTATTATTTTATAATAACCATCCTCACGGGAGATAAGTAGAATTTCATTGCGGTTTTGATTTCCAATTCCCTAATGAGTACTAATGTTGAACATCATTTCATGTGCTCATTGATGATTTGTGTGTTTTCTTTGGAGAAATGTCCACTTAAGTCTTTTACCGACTTTTGAATAGGGTTGTTTAGTTTTTGTCTTTTAGTTATAAGTATTCTTTATGTATTCTGTTGTTATCGTTTAGGTATATGCTTTACAAATATCTTCCATTCTGTGGGTTTTCTTTTAATTTTCTTGATAGCACCTTTCATGCACAAGAGTTTTTTGTTTTTTTTTTTTAATTTATATTTTTTAGTTGTAGGTGGACACAGCACCTTTATTTTACCTTTTTTATGTGATGCTGGGGATCGAATCCAGTGCCTCACACATGCTAGGCAAGCGTTCTACCACTAAGCCACAACCCCAGCCCCAGGAGTTTTTAATTTTGATTAAGTCAACTCATCTGGTTTTTCTTTGTTGCTCATTTTTTGGTCTTATATTTATGAAATCATTGCCAAATCCAAAGTTTTGAATGTTTATGAAGATCTGTGGATTTTTTTTCCTCTTAACTCCGAAGTTTAATTTGTTGATCCATTTTGAGGTCATCTTGGTATATGATTTTAGGTAAGGGTCCAATTTCATTCTTTTGCATGTGGATATCCAGTTTTCCCAGCACCCATTAAACAGTCTTGGTTCCCTTGTCAAAAATCAATTGACCTTTGTCTCAGTTTGGTCTGCTAGAAAAAAATTGAATAACAAACATTTCTGAACAACAAAGATTTCTTCTCATAATTCCAGAAACTGGGAAGTCCAAGATCAAGGGGTATTAGTCACTTTTCTGTTGTTATAACAAAATACTTGAGCAAATCAACATATAAAAAGAAAAAACCTTATTTTGGCTCATAGTTTTGAAGGTTCTAGTTCATGACTGATTGGTCCCATTCCTTTGGAGCCTATGGCAAGGCATCTAATCATGGAAGAAAAATCAGAGGAAGGAACTGGGGTCCCCAAATCTCCTTCAAGGACACACTCCCAATATATATCCCACTAGGCCCCGCTCTAAAACATTCTACCACTTCCCAATAAGGCCACTCTCGGGACCAGGCCTTTAACACATAGGCCTATGGGGCCTTTGCGGGGCACGCAAGGTGTTGGTGGATCTGTGTCTGGCACAGTGCCACCTCTTGGTTTGCAGGTGACTTATTTGTTCATTGCATCTTTGCATGGAAAAGAGCACAGATAAGAAAACATGTCTTTCATGTATGCCTGTGATGCTGGTGGTTGAACCTTGAGCATGCTAAGCATATGTTCTACACCCCCAGCTGCTCATATCTTGTCTTAAGGAGCATTAATCTCATCATAAGGTGTCACTTTAATGACCTACTTGCTTCGCAAAGGTCCCATTTCCAAATATGATTCCATTGGGGATTATGGTTTCAACATAAGGAGTGTGGGACATACAAATATTTAGCCTATAGCAACCACATTTGTGAGAGTTTGTTTCTGGGGTCTGTGTTCTAGTCCCTTGATTTATATATCCTTATGACAGTATCATCCCCTTTTATTACTGTAGCTTTATATTAAATTCTCAAATCAAGAAGTGTGTGTCTTCTAATTTTTTTTGTTTTCAAGATTTGTTTTGGTTGTTTGGAGTCTCTTGAAATTCCATATGAATTTTTGAATGAGCTTTTCAATTTTTTCAAAATATGCCATGGGAATTTTGATAGGGATTGCATTGCATCTGTAGACCAATCCCTTTAGGTAGTATTTTCATCTTAGCAAGTCTTTCAGTCTGTGAACCCAGGATTTTTCCATTATTTTTTTTTCAATCCCCCTCTCAGCAGTATTTTGTAGTTGTAATTAATTTCTTTCTTATTTGCCCACTCTTCTTTTTTGGGAGGTGGGGTAGTGGGGATATAACCAGGGGCAGGGGGGCTTTACTACTGAGCTATATCCTCAGCATTTTATTTTCAGACAATGTTTCACTAAGTGGTTTAGGGCCTTGCTAAATTGCTGAGGTTGGCCTTGAACTTGATTCTCCTGCCTCAGCCTCCTGAGTTACTGGGATCACAGGTGTGCACCACCATCCCCTGCTTGCCCTTCCTTCTCAAACTATCTGTACCAGATTTGTTGACGTATCAGAAACCAGTGAGAGCAAGGGAGGAAGATTACCTCTAGATAGGGAATAGGGGTGGGAGGGAAATAGAGGAAAGGGGAATAGCATGGATGTTGGAAGGAGACCCTCATCATTATCTAAAATACATGTATGAAGATGTGAATTTGGTGTCAACATACCTTATATACAATCAGAGATATCATAAATTGTGGTATAAAGGTGTATTAAGAATTGTACTCTCTCTATCTCTCTCTCTTTAAAAAAAAAAAAAAAAAATCACTGGGGATGTGGCATGCGAGGCAGCCCGGGTTCGATCCTCAGCACCACATACAAACAAAGATGTTGTGTCCTCCGAAAACTTTTTAAAAATAAATAAATAAATATTAAAATTTTCTCTCTTTCTCTAAAAAAAAGAATTATAATACAAAAATAATAATAATAAGAGAGCTCATGTTTAAAAAACTTATGTGCATACAATAACTTGTACATAAATGTAAAAAAGCAGCTTTGTTAATAACAGCTAAAGAGTGGAAACAACTCACAAGTCCATCAATTGATGAGTAAATCAAAATTGATGGGTAAATCAAAACCAGTGGATGAATACAATGGAATATTATTTGCCAATAAGAAGGAATAAAGTGCTGGTACATGGCATGACATGAATGAACCTCAAAAACATCATCTAACTGGAAGAAGGCAGTCACAGAAGACCATGTGTTATGGGATCTCACTCATATGAAATGTCTAGAATAGACAAGTACAGAGAGAAAGCGGAATAGTGGCTATTGCTAGAGGCAGTAGGAGTTTGGGGAGGATGATTGAGGGGGCTAAGAAGAATGGTTCTTTTGAGGGGTAATGAAAATGTTCTAAACTGATTATTGTGATAGATGCACAATTCTGTAAACATAGTAAAAGCTACTGGATTTTACACTTTAAATTGACAGATTGTATAGTATAAGAATTATATACCAACTAAATTTTATATGTAATATAAAATACATGTTATACTTTAAAAAAGAAACAAACAAACAAACAAACCAATGAAAAGAGTCTTATACATTTGTCTGTTGTTTTCTAAATTTTGGGTTGTTCACTCACAGCTGTCAATCCCATTTAATTTCTTGAACTCCAGGTACTGTTCAGCAGCTTGGTCTATCTGTTCTTGTTCTTTGGCTATACTTTGACTTTTCAAAAATATTCTACTACTAGATTTAAGAATTTTTACATCTTCTTAATATGAAAAGATGCCAACTGAAAGGTTTTCCAGGCATATGGTTCATATCAGTACACTGAAAAGTCATCAGTATATTTTTCCAAAAGCCATCAGTATTTTTTTCCCAATGAAAATGGAATGATGATCTACTCTCAAAGAATAGAGAAATGCTGTTTAGATGTTCACTGATATTTAAATGAGGTGTTTCCTGTGCTTGGATAGATTGTTCCTTGATTGATTGCTTTCATATGCATTTTACTCAGTCAAAAGAATGTATAGCTTATTATGAAATAAAGAATCTACCAAAATTTGAGTTCTGAGCACAGTTCAAGCAGTTTCATAACATTTATGTTACACTTCTTTTTAGTTACTTGACTTTAAGTTGCCCTCATTGAAGTAATGGTTTTATTTTTTGTCAGCTTTCTTTTCTAAAATTTGCGTTTCTTAATAAAAATTGAGTAATTATAGGGTGGATTTAATTTTCCCCATCCCATGAAATTATTAGAGTTCTTTTTTTCTGTTGTATATGGTTTACCCAGTAAGTAAGGGATCTTCTAAAGAGTAAGCTTGTGATTTTATAGAATTAGAATATTTTTGTTCAAGATGTTTTAAGTTTAGGGGGGAAAGTCTAAAATGAAATGCACTGTGATTTAGATGTAAATATTGACACCCCCACCCTCCCAACCTTACCTCCACTTCTAATTTTTAGTGGTCTCATCATTAGCCACCAAATTCATTTTTCTTGTTAAGATATTAGTGGTATGTTAAGTTTTGGCTTTTTTATTTACATAAATTTAGTTTCTGCCCTGTCTCCCTTTGCTCAAAATGTGAAAAATTAGGAGAAAGCCTTAATTAGATGTGGAAAAGTATTCAAATGCACAATAATATATAGAGCTATATAGCAGCTTATTTTGAAGGAATTTTACAAAAGAAATAAATGTGTTAATTGTTCTTTATATTATCTGTAAGCTTGCAGTTACAAGAAATCCCAAAAGTACTAGGCCTTTGAGGTTTTATCATTTGCTGCCTAAGCCCAAAATCAGCCAGTGGTCACTGATTTGGGGAAGAACTAAGCACAGAATAATCTGTAATATACAGTCCTAGAATGGTAGTGCAATTGTATATGATCAGTTATATTTACTAAACTACCAGTGGTTCTAAGTAAAAAACTCAGACCCAGAAAGTAAATGGATTAATCTGACAATATTTTATATTCAAGGTTTATTATATTCTGTTCAACAGAAATGTATATCAGAACATTCATCCAGAAAACCAAGAGCTAGTGAGGGTGCTTCGAGAACAACTTCAAACAGAACAGGTACTGTTATGTAACGTGCATTTATGTAAGGAGTAGATGTTATAATTCCCTTTGAATGTACAGTTAATTACTTTTGAGAAACAGGGACTGTTTTCCTGCTTTCTTTCCTGCCTTCAATTGTTCTATAGGTTGTATGTTTTCAGATTAAGTATATTGCCCAGTCAACATCTATTCAGATGTTTACATGTTTTTTTTAACTTGCTTTAAAAAAGAATGGTTTTCCTATTATTTATTTGTATAGAAATAATCACTGTAATTGGCCTTAACTGAAATGTAGTAGAAAATTATTTTTTAAAACATATATACCCAAAGACCTTCAAAGAAATATTTGTACCTCCCCATTTTCTTCAGTGATCAGAGTTAACAGAACTAGTTAGAAAAAGAAGAAAACTTTTCCTCTCTGCCTCTTCTTTACTTTTTACCTCATAAACAGTATGGTTTATGAGAGTCAGAATAAATGGAATATTTTATACCTTCATACCTATATCACTAACATCAAAAATAAAAATTTTAGCTGGGCTTGGTAGCACATGCCTGTAACCAGGAGGCTGAGCCAGGAGGATCGTAAGTTTCTAGCTCTCCTGGGCAACATAGTGAAACCCTGTCTCAAATGAAAAATGAGAAGGATATAACTCAGTGGTAAAGCGCCCCCGTGTTTGATCCCCAGTAGCAAAAAAAAAGTTTTGATTGCTTTCCTACCCAAACTTTGGTTCCAATGAAGGCTTATAATTTATCCATTCACCAAATATATTTCAAACTTCTGTCATGTCCCAGGCATTGTTATAGGTATTGGGAATCCAATTGTGAACTAAACAGACAAAAATTCCTACCCTCATGGAACTGAAGTTCCATTCATCAATTCGAGAATAGTTTAAGCATGTTAATAGTGCTGTATTCCAAAGTAATTGTTTTCAATAATTCATGTTCAGATAATGTTTTATAATTTACAAAGTGATTTCACAAACAACTATCTTATTTAATCTTCAGACATGCTAAGCATAGCAATTATTATCATTTGCATTAACACATTAGATTGCTAATTACTTAAATTCACACTAGCAATTACATTAATGGGTTTAGCTATACTGGAGTCACAAATAGAAGTGAATCTTCTGGATTTCTTTGTACCTCAAACCCATTGTTTACCTCCCAGCTTCCTCAGGCATGACATTATACCTATTGGAACTAGAATAAAACTAGTGACTTAGCCTATTCTGTATTGTTCAACATAATAGCCACTTGTGGCTATTTAAATTTAATTTAAATAAGATTTAAAATTCAGTACTTTAGTCACAACAGCCACATGTGGATAGCAGCTGCCAAAGTGGGTAGTACAGATAAAGATTTCTATGATTACAGAAAGTTCTATTGAACAGCACTGGTAATTGTTTTTTGTCAATATCTAAAAAGAATGAGAAACAATGGAAAGGTGAACATTAAGGTTCTCCTTACATTTTTCTTTTTGTACTATTAAAACTGGCATGAATAATTACAATATCTGAGTGTGACCTAGAATTATAGAATATTCTGGTAACTTAGCAGTAATTTGAAATTTTAGAGGTAACTTAGAGGAAATTTGAAATTTAAATTGTGGTTTACAATATTGGGAAACAAAGGGCTTGGGATATAGCTCAGTTGGTAGAGTGCTTGCCTTGCAATCACAAGGCCCTGGGTTTAATCCTCAGCACCACCAAAAAAAAAAAAAAAAATTGGGAAGCCAAGTTCTTTGATTCATTATAGTTAACAATTCATGTTTAATACATCTGATATTTTTAAAATTAGATGTTTTTAATGCTAGCTACTTTGTTTATAAGATATGTACTGGGTGCTATCAAACAGGTTTTGATAAATGTTTATTGACAAGATAAACATTTCATACTAATGATGGATGCTTTTCTAAGTCCTTTTTAAATTCAAGACCTATATGTATACATAGGCTAGATCCCTAATTTTCCCTTTGTCACATTTTGTATTTCCTAAGTAGTATAATTGCTTCTGATATCCTGCTCTGCTTGTCATCCAAGTATATTTAGCATATGAATAATGACTATAGTGAGTCCTACAGATGAAGGCCTTGTCTTTATGGCACTTGTATTCTAGTGAGATCTTTGATATCTGGATTCTTCTTATGCTGGTAATTGTACTCGGTACTTCTGTTCGATCACAACACAACTTTGTGAAGGTCTGAGTTCAAGTTACCAGTGATCTTAAATTTTTCTGCTTCCAAAATGAGGAAGTATTCTTTTCCAAAAGTTTAATTCTGATCTTGTATAAAGTATCACATATATGCAACACTTTGTCTGGAGGATAGCTATGAGAACAGAAAAAGAGGTTAAAAATTAAAAAAAGCCAATAGTTAGAAAATATTTTGACTCTTCTTTTTTTCCTTTTGGTGGTTCTGGGGATCGAATCCAGGGCCTCATGGATGCTAATCTGGTGCCTTAATACTGAACTACACCTCCAGCCTGACATTTCTTACTCTTCAGCTTAATGTATTAGCTCAGCCTTACTCTACACAGAATAACTTATGTGGAAAGGCTAAAAGAGAAACTCTTGAATTAATCTAGATTTATTTCTTTAAATGTATTTAGGAAGGAAGGTAGACACCCTATAGCTTAAAAAAAACAACAGTATAGCTTTATAACTTGTTAAATTTATATAAGACCTTAAACTATTTTTTTATTTATTTAGTTGTAGATGGACACAATATCTTTATTTATTCATTTTTATGTGGTGCTGAGGATTGAACCCAGGGTCTCACACATGCAAGGCAAGTGCTCTACCACTGAGCTCAGCCCCAGCCCCTTAAACTATTTTTTATAAGACCTTAAACTATTGCATATCTGAAAATTGATGGATTACACACTATTAACAGTGTTCTTTCTTTTTTCCCTCAGTGGTGGGGTAGAACCCAGGGCATTGCACATGCTAAGCAAGTATCTATCACTGAACTATAACCCAGCTCTTTTCAGTTTATTTGGAGATAGGGTGTCTATAAATTGTTGAGGTTAGCCTTGACCTTGCAGTCCTCCTGTCTCAGCCTTCCAGTTAGCTGGGATTACAAGCATGTGCCACCATACCTGGCTTGACAGTGTTCTTATACGTAATTTAACATTAAAGACAATTTTGAATGCTCAGTATATAATTATGTGTACATATCTTCTTATCAGGATGCACCTGCTGCTACTCGACAGCAGTTCTACACTGACATGTACTGTCCAATCTGTTTACATCAAGCTTCCTTACCTGTTGAAACAAACTGTGGACATCTTTTTTGTGGTAAGCAAACAATTCTATACTTTGGTAGAAGTAACTGTTTAAATCAAGACCTATATGTATACACAGGCTGGATCCCTAATTTTTCCTTTGTCACATTCTGTATTGCTTCTGATATCCTGCTCTACTTGTCATCCAAGTATATACTGCATCTGAATAATCAACTATATGTGTATGTTTTTTCTACTTAGTACGTTATTTTGCATTTTTGGTTCAAAGGTTAAAAAAATAATTGTTCAGCTTCTCAGTCAATGCATTTCTTTGCATAGTAATTCAAGTATGTCAGTAGCATTAAGGATTCACTGAATTTCAACTTGTTCTTTACTCTTTAGTAGTTTCATTATGCATCCTACCCAGGGCAGAAAGGTTTTTCTTTTAAGAACCCTGTCTAAAACCTTCCCTTAGCTCTACTATCTCTATTTACTCATTTAATACGAAGTTCTTAGTTTCCCTCTTTCTTTTTGGAGAAGGACAATGAGAAACCTAGAACATACAGTGAGAGTACTGATCTCATACTGATGCTTTCTACCTCATTATTGTTGTTGTTGTTGTTTGACACTCCAGAGGAAAGATTTCACAGAGAATAATGAAATATCATCATTGCTTGTTATAGCTATACAAGATTAGAGGGATGGCCATATATACTGGACATACTTCACCTCATCTAACCCCATAAATGAAAAAATGAAGGCTCACAGACATTAAGAAATTTTATAAAGGATAACCTAACTGCTAAGCAACAGAGATCTGTTCCATTATAGTTAGTGAAGAATAATAGCAACAGATAATCGCCTTATGTGAATTTGTAACCCACATTATTTTATTTAATTCTCCAGATGGCTTGTGAGGTCTTAAACCTTGGTCTGTCTTCAAGTCCTGTGCTCAGTTCTGTATGTGATTGATGACATTCTTAAAACTGTCTACTTAAATTTATCTAATTATTAGACCTTTTTTTTGTTGTTGTTAATAGTACTACTTTGTGTTTTTTGAGAAGTTCAGAATAACTAGGGATGTTTTTTTTTTAACCTTTGTGCAGACACTAAATAAAAGTGCATAACAAGTAAAGCAGTATAACACAAGTAATCTACCTTATCACCTCAGACATATCGAGATTGTGTTTTTTTGTTTTTGTTTTTGTTGTTTTTTTTCTTGTGGTGCTGGGGATTGAACCCAGGGCACTTTACCACTGAACTACATCCCCAGCCCTCACCCCGCTTTTTAGGGGCAGGGACAATGTCTCTTTAAGTTGCCAAAGCTGGCCTAGAACTTGTTATTTTCCTGCCTCAGCTTCTTGAATAGCTGGAATTACAGGCAAGATGGAGTCTTAATTGTTCCCCAAATGTATAAGTTTTCACATAAATGCATACAATGATCCTATAAATTGCTTTCTCCCTTTGTTATAATGTTTGATAAAAAGCATAGAATTCTTAACTACATTATTATTTATGCTGTGGAGGATGACTTAAATATATAAATACCTATCATGCAATGCTGGGTTTTCTATGTACCTTAACCTCATCCCACCTTGCTTCATCCATTAATAACTTCTTCCCTAAGGAGCTAACAAATTATAAAACACTTATTTCTGGTTTTTAGTTTTGTGTTATCTCTTGGAAATGTTAATGATCTGCAAAATAATGGAAGATCAGATGGGGAAATATTACTGGCCATCAGAGACAATAGAAAGCTTTCCCCTCTCAAACCTTTGGTAGATATTCTTAATCAATTTGACACTCTTCTCTTTTGAGTCACTCAACCTCTAGCACAGTCCTCCAGAAAGGGTTAACAGTCAAAGAAGCAAGATGAATTATTTGCCAATGCAGGTATAGCTAATTCATTGAGTAGATCATCCTGTCAATTGAAAGATGGCTTGTACTGTATTCTTGGTTTTATCTCTGATTCTAAGGTAATAGGGTAGATTGCTTCTGATATCCTGCTGTACTTCTTAATAAGCACTTTGATTTAGTGTCTGTAGGCTCAAATGTTTAAAGAAGAAAAGAAAACCTAGTTACTCAACTTCCCAATAAACAGAAATGTATTTCTTTGGGTACTACTTCAAGTATATTAAACTGTATTACAAGAGCACTTTGGCTGAATTCCTATATAAAAAACCACACCTCTGTTACATTTCAGTGAACTAAGAATAAATAGCAACAGATATCACCTTACTTTCATTTGTAACACACATTATTTTATTTAATGATCCAGCAGGCTTATGAGATCTCATCACTTTACAAATAAACAGATTCAGAGATATTGTGACCCAGATGAAAGCTGAGTCATCTCTCCCACCATTCTATTCACATGGAGACCTTTTTATATGGTGGGGGAGAGTTGAGGAACAGGAAAACATCAAGCATTTAATAGCAGATTTAAGTGAATGAAGTGTTTGGTTTTCTAGGCTACAGTTTTTCAGTGCAGGTAAGTGGCTATGACATAATTTTTAAACAAGGACTCCTACATCCTAATTTGTAAAGAGATGTGAGATTAAATGAGTTTAATGTGTTAAAACACATTGACTTGTTGGGTGAAAAAGTAGATAAAATGAAGACATTGTGACAAACGGTAATAATATTACTAAGAGATTAATGAATTTTGTTTTCATATAGTCTCTATTTGAAAATCAGATTGCTCGATGTGCTTAATAAATGTTATCTAATACAGTATTCTGGAAGGGTAGAGATATAAGATGATTGTCCAGCTTTTAAACTAATCTTTAAGTTGGTGAACCTGTTGTTCCCACAGGCCCTATAGTGTCCAGTTGGCCCTATAGTGTCCAATGGATAAGCTTCTGCTTATTTATTTGGTCACCATTATGCTCACATTGACCATTTCTGCCCATAGCATGTGCTCTTGCTGTTCATAAACCCTGAATTGTCCTCCCTCATGTTTTCTGCCTACTGAATCATATGTATCCCACAAAGTTCAGTTCAGATCCTTTCTTCTCTGTGTTTAACTTTCTACTGCATCCCTCTCTGTACTCCTTTTTATTTAATATTAACCAGTTCAAGATTTAGCTACCTTCTGCCAAACTTGGTGTCCCACACCTGTAACCCCAGCTACTTGGGAGGCTGAGGCAGAAGAATTTTAAGTTTGAGGCCAGATTAGGCAACTTGGTGAAAACCTGGGGATGTAGATCAGTGGTAGAGCACCCCTTGAGTTCAATCCCTGGTACCACAAGAAAAATTTGAAAAGATTTAGGTATCTTCTAGCATATTTAAATAAATCACCTTGGTCTCCCCAATTGGGTTACCATTGCTTATTCTGAATTCTGATCTGGAAGAATAATAAGGAACACAGGAAGTTAAGCTAGGTTGCTAAGGTGAGAGTAAGACTACAGGGAGGATTTTGGAGGTGGAAGGGAGGCTTAGTGTCATGGGAAAAGAAATGTTTCTGGAAAGAGGGTCTCAAGGAGCTCTCAGAGGGGGGACCTTGACTCAGGACCATTGACATGATGGAAAATAATTTCAACACATTTTTGTAGAGGCAAAGATTTATTTAGGAAAGCAAGAAATAGACTTTCAAGGGATAGACCATCTCAAGAGTGAGAGATGCATTTGAGGGGTTCCCAGCTCTCCTTTAATAGGAAACTTGATAAAGAATGGGTTTGGGAAGTTATGTGGATCATCAGTCTGGTGATCTCAAGATGAATTTCCATGTCCTTCCTTTATGACTTTTTACTACCTGGTTTTGTTGTTTGTTTTATTCCATCCTACCTCATTTAGCCACTTGTTCAGATTTGCTTATGGGACTTGGAGGGTCAAAGATTACAGTTATTCTACAAAGAAGAAAATGATTTGGCCTCTTAAGAAACAGACAGTATTTTAAAATAGTCCTTCATGTTATTGGCCTAAAGATTAGTGCTTATCCACTTAGCTCTCCTGCCACTTTTTGAAGTCACATAAACTGGCTCTAGGCAATGTTGCCCATCTTTACCTGTTTTGCTGCTCATGAATACCTTCAAGCAGAAAAATCAAATTCATGTAGAATAAGAGTCAATTCAATTATTGGACTGGATTTTAAACTTTATTAGGGCAGAGATCATGTAATATTTTATTTTGGTTCCTTGCTTCATTTAATCTAACTACTACTTAGTTACTATTAATACTTCCAGATTATGGTTATCTAAATTCTTAAAAAAATAAAACTTGTATTTTTGTAACATACATGTCACATTTGGAACCATTTATGCTATGATTTGTTGGTTGTCTTATCCGCCCCCTCTTTGGAATCAGGGATTAAACCCAGGGGCACTTAACTACTGAGCTACATCCCTAACCCTTTTTTATATTTTATTAGAGACAGGATCTTGCTGAGTTGCTTAGGGCCTCGCTAAGTTGCTGAGGTTAGGTTTGAATTCTGGATCCTTCTGCCTCAGCTTCCTGAGTTCCTGGGCTTACAGGCGTGTGCCACCATGCCCAGCTGGTTGGTTATCTTATTTACAGTGACGTTTATTTTATTTATTGTACATAGGAAATAAAGTATTTTCTATGAAGCCTTATTATTGAAGCAGTTAATATTTTGCTTTATTAAATAAAAATGTTTGTTGCTTAACTAATACTTTAAATAAAAATACTTTTTAATGGCTGGGAATTGTTACTATGTTTGAATTTGCCTGAAGAGTTGGTAGGATGGAGTAAAAATTTGGATGGAACACAGTGGCTAACATATGCTGGGGAAGCACTCTACCCAGCTATACCTCCATCCCTAAAAACTATTTTTGAAAAAAATAATGTTATTGTCTTTTTTATACTTTTATTTTATTTGTTTATATTTATTTGGTGATAAGGATGGAACCCAGTGCCTCACTCATGCTAGACAAGTGCTCTACCACTGAGCTACAGCCCCAGCACCTAAAACCTATTTTTAAATAAGGTGACACTGTTAAATATTTGAAGCTTTCTCAAGATATAAGGACTTTAAAACATCAGTATTAATGTTTTCTTTTTTCCATTAGGTACCTGCATTATTGCATACTGGAGATACGGTTCATGGCTTGGGGCAATAAGTTGTCCAATCTGTAGACAAACGGTAATACTTTATGTCCACAAAACATCATTTATGATTCTTCTTTTACAAACTTTAATAGTTTTTGTATTTTAAATTTTGAATTCTTTTTACTTTTTAGCAGAACTTCATTTATCCAAAGCTTCTGATTTTACTTAACAACAACAAAAAAAAATCATTAAGACACCACCAAAAAGGGACATTCTATTTGAAATCTGACAGTTGTAGAAGTTGAGTCTTACCCAAATCATAAGTCTTTATTATAATACCAGTAAAGAAATATCTGAATTAGCTAATCATGCTTAAGCATATATCTCCTATATGTACTACTTTGAAAAATTGTTTTTCTTTTTTCACTTATATTTAATCTGCCCTTTTTTAGTGAAGGTTCTGATATCTTTAAATATTGTATAACATTTTTTTAAATTTTTTCATTTCTTTTAGAGACATAACAATATTTACACAATGGACAATTATAGTTAGTGTAGAAGCTACCTGTGAAAGGAGGCAGGAGGCAGTACGTTTTTATAAGTGTAAATTTGAAGACTAAAATGTTAGCACAGGTGAAATGTGCAAAATAGTGAACAATTCTGAAAAACCAAAGTTCTTAGTTTTTTTGATACAGTTTAGTCTGTCAATTATATAGCTTTGGTAATTATATAGCTTTATACTTATTTTTCATTTAAAATATATAATTGTCTGCCAGGCGCGGTTGCACATACCTATAATTCCAGCAGCTCAGGAGGCTGAGACAGGAGGATCTCCAGTTCAAAGCCAGCCTCAGCAGTAGTGAGGCGCTAGGCTACTCAGTGAGACCCTGTCTCTAAATAAAATATAAAAAAAGGGCTGGGGATGCGGCTCGGTGGTCCAGTGCCCCTAAGTTCAATCCCTGGAACCCCCCCCCAAAAAAAACCACACTTTTCTGATAACAATTTGTGAACATATTTGTAAAAAATAGCATTTCCTTTAGATGTCTTCCAGTATGCAAAACAAAGTCCTAAAAAGGATAGAGAACTTCCAAAGATGTCTAGTTGAATGCACACTTTTACTTTTTTTCCTCTTGAAACCCCACTAAAACAGTGAAGGGCATTTTGTAAAGGCATAAATCCATAGAGACCAAAAAATAAAATACACGATGGAAGCAGCAATTTTTCAAAAATTTCTTCGTTAAAAAAAAAAAAAATTCTTCGTGAAACATAAAAGCCATTAAAAAACACACACACAATACAAAGAAGTACAGTTCATTATATTATTACAAAGCAACACTCCAGCAATTACTATCAGATGGAGAACTAGAAACTACCAATAGCCCCAGAAGCACACCTAGGCCTCCTTCCAAATCTCCACCCTGCTCCTTCCTCACCTAGAAGTAGCTACTATTTGACTTTTATGGTAGACATTCCTCCACTTCAGCATGCATGTATTATTTTTAGTTTTGTCCAATCTTAAACTTTATGAAACACACATAGTATGCAGTGTTTTTTGTGTGTGTGTGCATGCACTCGCATATATATACATATATATACTCACATGTGTGTATATATGTATGTATATACATATATATGTATACATATATACATATAAAGATGTATATATATCTTTATACATATAAAGATATATATCTTTTATATATATAAAGATATATATATAAAGATATATATATATATATATAAAGATATATATATATATATCTTTCAGCCTTCATTCTGGCTGTCCCATTTCCCTCATCACTTATGGGCTTGTTGTTTTGAGCACAGAGGGAAGTCCAGATCATCTTTCTTTCTTGTTTCTACAGTTCCAAATTCTGACTCATTCAGGTTTTATTTTCTCAAATGATCAGGAGGAAACTGAATTTTTTCATATTGCCTCTTTGGCTAATTTGATGAATGACACAAGGAAGTCAATACTGGAGCTAATTTGCCAATACCACTTCTTATCACCTTTTGCCATTTTCCAGCAACACAGGGACCAGGTAGTAGGTCTTGCATTAAAGATTTCATTCCACCATCTGTCCCTTCTCTTTGACTCTATCCACAACTTTTCATAGGACATATGTAAGCTGTAGTATCTTTTGTACCACCCATAAATTAACTTGAGGCTAATAAGATAGAGATGAAGGTATCTTAATATAATAGCCATTGATTTCCTAATTGTAGAGTAACTCATCCTAAAGGCAAGACAGATGACTGGTACCACTCCACTTCCTCCTTCATGGGGCTCCTTTAGTAGATGGTCATTGAAATAATAATGTACAGGCTCTGTGCCTCTGACTGGAACACACTCATCACTTCTCTCAGTACACAACACAAACAGTTCTACCCATATTCCATGGTTTAGCTTTAAGTTTCAGTCTTTCTAAACACCCAAGCCAAAAGTCCTCTAAAAGCATCTTATAACACCTCCCACGGTGCTATAGAACAGGCTGTAGAACAGGTCTTTTATTTGGGGTCTTGAAATCACCCAGGGGAAGGTCCATTTCTTCTTCATCTTTTTTGTATAGGTAGCTCTAATATAGTGCCTGGCCAACAGTAGGTGCCCTATTGATGTTTATTGAAAGAATGCATTTGTATTAACAAATCTGTGAATGAAGAGATGGCAATATCTGCTGTTCCTACCACCTACTGAGCTTAGTCACTCCTTTGCTTAGCTATTTGGAAAGCATTTAGGCAGTGAGAAGCCCTGGTTTAACAGCTTGAACTGAGGAAAGATAAAAAACAACAGCTGAGATGATTTAAATCTGTTCCTACTCCTTCCCATTTTTATCTTATCACATAACTCATCAGTGACCGTTTTCTATAGGTTGTTATTTTTTTTAATTTATTTTTCAAGATCTATCACCTTCAGATTATCCAGTGGGGTCCCAGGACATCTGTGGCTCATTCTTCTTAAGACCATGGAGATAGCAGGGTTAAACATGGTTCTATAATAGTATCAAGAATTACATCTTTTATGTGGTAATAAAATATTATTCAGCCATAAAAAATAATGAAATTCTGTCATTTGCAGCAATATAGATGGAGCTGGAGAACATTATGTTAAGTGAAGTTCATCTGGCAGAGAAAGACAAATACTACATGTTCTTACTTACATGTGGAAGCTAAAATTTTATTTCAAAAAAGAAGAAAATAGTAACAACCAGAGCCTGAGATGGGTACAGGGTAGGAAAGGATGGAGAAAGGATGATTAATGAGTAGAGGTTCAGTTAGGTGACAGGAATAACCTCTGATGTTCTAATGGGATAACTGTGATTGACAACAATTAATTGAATATTTCAGAATAGCTTCTAGAGAGTATCTTGAATGTTCTTAACCCAAGGAAATTATAAATATCTGAGGTGACAGGTGTGCCAATTACCCTGATATTAGTATTACATATAGTGTATATGTATTGAAATGTCATATTGCACCCAACAAATATGTATAATTACTATGCATCAACTTGAAGTAAAAATATATTTTTTAAAAAATACATTTTTTTTAATTGTAGCAGATTTTGGTGTTGGAGAGTTGATCCTTGCAATAACTTAATCTCTGTTATGGTAGCAAAGATATATTAAATACTAGTGAGAATATGGAATCATTACTTTAATACCAAAGTAGAAATGCCTAATTTTTCTCTCTTAATATAATAGGTATATATTTTTTCCCAATGGGTGTGTGTGTGTGTGTGTGTATATATATTGTGTCACTTTACTACTGAATGTTTTCTAATCATTCTTTTATCTTCAAGTATACATATGCTCAAATAGAAAACTATTGAACTTTTCCTTGGTGTAAATAGATTCAGTGTTTGGATATGGTACCCATTTTATCTTATATGCATTTGCACTTGATAAGGCAATAATAACTTGTCCCCCTCCATGTTGCCTTTTATTAAAACAAATGAGTGAAATATAATTCAGAACCTTTTTTAATTCTATTGAATAATAACAAAGTGAAAAAAAGTAATGATACAGAAGGTATAACAGCTTTTTTTTTTTCATGTAATGTACAGGTAACTTTACTCCTAACAGTATTTGATGAAGATGATCAGTCTCAGGATGTTGTAAGATTGCATCAAGATGTTAATGATTATAACCGGAGATTCTCAGGGCAGCCCAGATCTGTAAGTAACCTTATAGCAGGCATAAGGTTAGAGGGAACCATTATACTTTTTGTAAAGTGAGATTTACTGACAAGTATTCTTTGACTATGAAAAATTTCATTATGTGTGTTGGGTCAAGTTTTTACCTTCATCATTGTTAATCACTTAGATATAGCTTTTCCAAAGGCCACAAGTTTGCCTTCATAAATAACAAACAAAAAGTATCATAAATATCTTTATGAAAGAGAAACTAGCAAAAAAATAAAAAATAAAAGAGAAAGAAGAAAATTAATCAGAGAAACTAGAAAATTCTTCACCTCTATGGGAGTCTAAATCACAGTTTATCAGTGAAAACTTCTAGAGAGGATTTTACAATTGGATTTTATTCTATTTTATTTACCCTAGTCCCCTGTTTGATATGTTCCCTTAAATATCTCTAGGTTTCAAGTTTATGTGTCATCTTAGCTATTGTAAAACATTTATTTTTATTTTGTTTTTCAAAAACATAATATTTTTAAAGAACACATCAATTGTACAGGTAATTGCCTCTTCCCTCCAAAAAGCATTTGATAAATTAAAAATTTTTGCATTATACTGACTGATTCTGGTTTTCTCAAAATCTAACAAATGATTTTAGAAGTGTGTATATGACTGAGTGTGTACTTCATAAACTAGCATGTACCAAGTGTGGATTTAAGTGGGAAGCCTAAACTTCTCTTCTGAGTGAGCTCCAGACTTTGTATGTCTAACTACTTAGCTGACATTTCTACCTGGATATTTCATAGGCATTTCAAACTTTACATGTGTAATATTAAAGTGATTTCCCTCCTTGACTCATTTTTTCTCAGTCTTGATTTCCTTTAACCTCCATTCTCCTGGTGTGATCTATAAGTCTCATTATTTCTTTTTCTTTTGAGGGTATCCTGTTACTTTTGCTTCATAACAGTGTCCTGACTCACCACTGATGTGATAATGCAAACCTGCAATCAGAGATACTTAGGAGGCTAAGGCAAGGAAGAGCATAAGTTCAAGGCCAGCCTGGGCAACAGTTTTAGTCATCCTTTTTGCTGCTGCAACCAAAAGACCTGACAAGAACAATTTTAGAGGAGGAAAAGTTTATTTGGCATTCACAGTTTCAGAGCTTTCAGTCCACAAATACTTAGCTCCATTGCTCTGAGCCCTAAGTGAGGCAGAGCATCATGGCAGAAGAGTGTGGTCTCAGAAGAAAGCAGCTCAGAACATAACACCAGGAAACAGAGAGAGCGAGGGACAGACAAGACAGAGACGCTACAGACTAGGGACAAAATATATACCCCAAAGCACACCCCAGTGACCTACCTCTTCTAGCCACATCCTATTTCTCTATCAGGAGATTAATGCACTGATTAGATTAAGATTCTTATAACCCAGTCATTTCACCTCTAAACCTTCTTGCATTGTCTCACACATGAGCATTTAACCTTTTTCTCATATCTAAACTATAAGAGCAATTTAGTGATACCCTGTCTCAAAACAAAAAGTGTGGGGGGTGCTGAGTTTGTAGTGCATGGCATAGCATCCCTGGTTTCATTCCCCACTTTACTTTTTTTTTTTTTTTTTTAAGTCCTGTTTCTCTGAGTCACGTGCACCTATCATACTAGTGCAAGTCACCATCATCTTCTGCTTTGGATAACTGCAGAGGCCTCCTCACTTCTTTTTTCTCTGCTTAGCAGCCTAAATAGTTTGTTCAGATCATGGTGCCCTTGTGTTTTAAAACTTCCAATTTTGGGGGTATTGTTCCCACCCTTTCTGTGGTTTGAAAGGCCCTAGTTGAACTGGTCTTCCCTCTCTAATCTCTTATGCCACTTCTTTTCATTTACTGTGCTTCAGCAACATAAGCCTCCCCCTCAGCCCTCAGAATACACTCCAGGTTCTTCCCACTTTAAAACATTCACACATGACATTTCTTCTGCTTGAAATGCTTGTCCCTTCACTTTACCTATGGCTACCTTCTCATCCTTTGGATGAGAACGTAGATGAGAACTGTCTTAAATAAGCCACCCTCAGAGAGGCTTCCCCTGACCACCAACTGTATTCTCTAGTTTTGCCTTCTGTGCATTTTCTTCATGCCACTTATCACAAACAGTACTATAATCAGTGGGGCAAGGACTATGTCTATTTATTTACTACTATATTTCCAGTGCTATGTTCAGTGCCTGGGATGTAGATCCTTAATATTTGTGAGTAAACTGAGTTATCTTTATAAGAATTGATACTGTTGCTCCCAGCCAAAAATACTAAGCTATTAAAGTGGTTCAGTATTAAACAAATGTGTGCTTTTGTGCTCCCTTGTTCTTTGTTCTGTCAGGTACCATTTTTTTGGTGTTTAAACAATAAGAAAAACTAAATTTAAACATTGTTGTCCTTCATAATTATTTAGAAGCCCCTCTGCTACTTTGATCCAACATTTTTTTTAACATATCCTCAGGTATATCTATAGAATGATTCTTTGAAAATTCATCTTGTTTCAAATTCAAAATTATCACTGAACTTAAAAATCATTTTGATGGCTGGGGTTGTGGCTCAGTGGTAGAGCATTTGCCTAGCATGTGTGAGGCACTGGGGTTGGATTCTCAGCACCCATATAAATAAATGAATAAAATAAAGGTTCATCAACATCTAAAAAAATATTTTCAAAAATCGTTTTGAGATTTTTTAATTCAAATTTTTAAATGTGAAACATCATTGCTCATTATTTTTTATAGGAGTCAAATATTTAATGAAAAGACATGTTATATGATGAAGTTATAATAAAAAGAGTTAACTCTTTGATATTCTACCTCCTTCAAAGTTGGAGTTAAGATTATACTTGATATACAAATGTTTCTTATAAACTATTCCATATTTTTTGCCTAATTATTATAGATTTTGTATAAATGATGATACCACTTTAGAAGTGAACAAAATATCTCTGATAAAGAACAGAAAGATATTCAGAAGACATATTGGCTGGTCATGAGAATATTTAAAATATTTTACCATAGACTTTGTGAAAGTTATGTAGCTGTTTTTATTTATTTTTTTAAGTTTCTTCCATACCTAGAGAAAATTATCAAAGGAAGTCATTCTAAAAAGATCATTTCTGTTCTCCTGTGACTAGTTTTCCAAAAGCAGTGTAAGTGACAAGCTATCTAACTGAGTTTTTAAAACTATTTTCTCCTCACTCAGTTCTTTGCATTTCTCTTTCCTTTGTCCTCTCAACATATTTGGTACTTGCTAAATATATATGCAGAGTTAGATTTTTATACAAATCAAAATAACAGAACTGTAGGCAGAGGAATGAAGAGAAGTGATTTCACTGGAAGACATCAATTTCACAGCTATTCTTAAACAGCCTTCATATCTTTAATGTGTAATATTTAGGTGTTATCTGATAATTTACAGAGTTCATATACAGACTCTCTTTTAGTTCTTAGTAATCTTTGGGGATTACTTTTTTAAAATATATTTTTAGTTGTAGATGGACATTATAACTTTATTATGTGGTGCTGAGGATTGAACCCAGTAATGCATACATGCTAGGCAAGTGCTCTACCACTGTGACACAACCCCAGCCCAGCGATTACTCTTTTTTTCTTTTAATATATTTTCTTAGTTGTAGATGGACACAATACCTTTATTTATTTTTATGTGGTGCTGAGGATTGAACCCAGTACCTCACATGTGCAAGATGCACACTCTACTACTGAGCCACAACCCCAGCCCAGGGATTACTCTTAATTAATTACTAAATGTGCACTTAGCTGAATTATCTCTAGTAAGTTAAACAACTGTCCCCAAATTCACCAGGCTGATAAGTAATGGAATTCACACTGTAAAGCTGACACCCAAGCATAAGACTCAGACCAATCCAGTACACTGGTTTCTTGGTTTGGTTTATTTTACTAACTCAAAATAGAAATAACCTGAGTTTTGCATGACTGTAGGTTGAATATCCCTTATCTGAAATGCTCTGAAATCGAAAATCATTTTGGTGACAATGAAGAAGTTTTGGCTTTTGAAGTGAGTCAGATTTCAGAGCATTTTGAATTTTGGAGCATTTTGGATGTCACATTTTTAAATAAGGAATGTTCAACCTGTATATCCCATATTTTAAGCTTATTGACACTAGCTGTTTTTCTTCAATTAAGACCTATTTTATAAGAACCCAGTAATTAGAGAATGATTTTTAAGTGAAACACATAATTAGAAAACATGGTATTCAATCATATGAAACTCCTTAATTCATTTTAACTGAGTTTGCACATTGTAAGAAAATTATATTATTTATTACCTTGTCATTTTAGATGCTAAATCTTAATATTTGTTTTTCCTTCTACCAGATTATGGAAAGAATCATGGATCTACCTACTTTACTGAGACATGCATTCAGGGAAATGTTTTCTGTTGGGGGTCTTTTCTGGATGTTCCGCATTAGGATAATACTTTGTTTGATGGGAGCTTTTTTCTATCTAATATCACCTCTAGATTTTGTACCTGAAGCCTTGTTTGGAATTCTAGGCTTTCTAGATGATTTCTTTGTCATCTTCTTGTTGCTTATATACATCTCTATTATGTATCGAGAAGTAATAACCCAAAGACTAACGAGATGAAAAATTTTAAAAAACAGAGTTTACTAGAATTTGAGCTAATGTACAAACAAAAGGACCTAAGGCAGTGTAAATCATCCAAATATTATCTTACAAGTTTAAAAACCATTGTATGACAAACATTTGATTATCATTTGACAAATGCTTAGCAATATATAACTGGAATTTTTACATGTTGCAGGTTCTAATGTTGAGATCTTAATTATGGTCTATAGTTGTTATCTTGATACTATGTTGTCTATAAAGTCTCTGGGAAAATATGGAATTAGATTTTTAAAAGGTGGGGGGAGATACTTGATATCTTTTTTCCCAAAATTACTTATGTTAATTGGATATACAGTACAATTTGTCAAATGTACAATCTATCCAATTTATCCTCCTCAGTGGGTACTCATACAATAATATGTAGCTATGAAACTAAATATTTTGTTACAATAAAATATCCTACAATAGTGGAGGAAAGTCAGCATTTCTTTTAGTGCAAGCTTTGTGCATTTAGACCAGTTCCGCTTTTCCATTCTGGTATAATTCTTTGTTATCAGCTAAAACTGAAAGAAACTTGAACTTTATAATTTCCCATATTTTGGTTTATGGAACACTTTTTAATCAATAGAAGAATTAACAAGATGAGAAATATTTGTTTCTAGTCGGCACACTTGATGGTCACAGAACATTTAAACAAGAGTTTGGTCATTTTTAGGAATAAATATAAAGATAACTTGTAAAGGGAAAATTACTTTAGGAACCAGATGATCCTGAAAACACATAGTTTTATTCGTTTCTCAGGAAACTGGATCTTCTTGTCTATTAGCATCAAAAACCTTAGGAAAGTACTAGGAATATACTAACCATCTTTGGTTAGCCCTAGCAACAGAATGGAAAAACTTAGTTGTCTGCTGTCAGAAATTTTTATAACGCTGTCACCTACATAGCAGCATATAGCCCAGATTCACCATCTCTTGTGCAGAATTAGCAAATATGAAGTGACTGGATAGGGAAGTTCTCTTATTTTTTTTTTCTTTCTGATAGCTATGGCATGAGTATCTAATGCTCTTGTCTGCAGTTTTGTTTGGTAAGAGTCATACCACAAAGTATTACAAGATCATTACTTCAGCTCTCATCATTCATAACCTGATGTCAGTTGATGATCAGGAGTGAGTGTTACCTTTGTCATGTGCAGTCACTAATATTATCCTTTAATTTTAGTAAGCATGTGTATGCATAGGGAGATAAAAACCTGTCACATTCTCCCAAGTTAATCAGATTAGCCATTAAATGATAAGATTCTGAATGAAATTTCAATTTGTGTTTTGTAATTAATTTGGACCCTAGGACAAAGCTGTTGCTTGTCACAGAAACAGTAGTACTCAGACATAGCACATGGTTAAAGCAATTTCTCACACTTTCATTTTATCCTTAGGGAAATTTTATGAGAAAGGCAGGGTATCATCTTACTTTACAAAGAGAAAATCCCATGCTATTGACTGACGTTACTATTTTGCCTGAAGTTTTGCAGCAAATAAGTGAATGAATTGGTCGATATTTAGACATGAAGACTATTTTGAAGAGGAGAAATCAGGAGAAAAACAGGATCCTTTGGAAGTCTTTCATAATATATTAATTCTTCACTGAAGTGAGATAAGTGCTCCCAAGAGGAAAGGTCTAAAAAGATGACACATCAAAGACTTCATGAAAATTCTATATTTCCAAATCAAATGTCCAAGAAAGTAGCAATATATCATAGAAGAACATTTCAGCTCAATCACCAACTTGGGAAGCTAATGAGTAGGAGTTTGTTATATCAGACTGGAAATGCATTTCCTACCTATTATAAATTTGGTGTGGGGCATTAGCAGTGTCATCTTATGAAAGGATTTTACTTTCTGTGCATGTGTTTTGTTTCCAAGTGTCACATTTCTGGTTACAATAATTTTATTGTAATATTTGGAATTATTACTTTCTTGGTAGAGATGTAGTATACCAAATTTTTCTACATACAAAAACACCGTATGATCTGAAGTAATTATTAAACTGAAAAGGGAACGTGCTGACATTTTTAGACCTGCTTATTATGTCATCTTTACCGATCATAGGTGACAAAAACAGAAGGGATCCAAGAGAGTATTTAAAGCAAGTAGACGTAATCAGTGTTTTAAACATTGTAGTAATACTTCTGTGATTCACAGTTAGATCAAATAAATCAAAGCAACAATTTAAAAATAAAAATATTTTTAAACAATATTATAACTCACAAAAACAGATGGTCCAACCCCAGGAGCAGATCACATCTTGGGCAGCTCTGTGGGGAATAAGACAGGGGAAACAACTGTTCTAACAGCCCACTAGAATAGTGGTTTCAATTCATACAGTTCTCAGTGTTTGAGAGGAACAAGGGCAGAAAGGACTTGTACTGATCCCTTGTGACTATGCAGATACCTACCTCACAGAGTTGGTATAGAGTATTGGTGGTTTGGTTAAAACTTCGTGATTTTAGAGTTTGTCAAGTGTTTTATTGTTTTGAATAAAAGCAGCATATCTAAAATTGTTTAAAAGGTGTACTCTTTCCATTTCTTTAACATCATCTGCTTTAAAACTTAACTCTTTTAAGCATTGATTATAATGGTTGCTGTGGCTTTTTAAAAATATTTTCCATATATATTAGATCCCATACATCACTGTGCACATTTTATTTTTGTACATAAACATTCTTCTATAGGGTTATGTCCAAAACAATGTGTAGTGTTACAGCAGCAATTTAAAGCATTTATCAATGTTAATTTCGAATACATGATTTTTTTCTTTTCAGTATAGACTTTAGAACTTAACACCTGTCTTAAGAGGCAACTCAACTTTTTATGTATGAAATACAAAAAGGGAAAATTTTCCCCCTTCATAAATTTAACTTCTTTTGAACTAACAATAACTTTTCATCTTTACAGTGCAATGTTTCAGTACAATTATACATTGTGTAATCAATTCAGTATCTTTAGATTATATATCTGAAACATTTAATGTCTCTTTGCAAACATTCAAACTCCTCCCCTAGCTACTTTGAATTATATAATAAAAATATTAAGTGATAATCCTATGTAATGGAATAATCTGTCCCCATCAGCTCCCCACACTTAACTGTGGATAACCACTCTGTGATGGCTTTATCTCTAGTGGACATCAAACATCTCATCACATTTTGAATTAATTTTATTTAGACGTTTTTAAATTGAAAAAGTAAAAAGGTATTTTTTTTTAATACTTTATCTAGGCAATCTATTAATTCTGGGCAAAAATGGAGTATAGATTTAAATAAACCTATATGCTGATTTTCCTATACACTGACTACCCACCTCCATTTCTTTTCATTGTATATTTAAGTCATATATTCAATAACTGAAATTTTCTGAGTCTATGCCCTCATGTCTACAACACCACCACTCCCACCACCATCACTACTAAATGTACTCTAGGTTCTCTGTTTTGCTAAAGAGCAACTCATAAACCTGGACTTGGAGAAACAAGAGGAACTTAAGGCTTTTAGGCCCTTAACAATCTCCCAGGATCAGGCCAATAGATTTAAGAGCTACTAACAGGAGGTAGTACTCTCAAAAGATATCCTTAAGCTTTTGTTACTGTCAGAATACTCTAATGGCATCAGTATTTGTTGTAAGCATTCAGTCCTTGACTGTACACAAATAAGGGGTGTCATCTTCATCCATCTGTGTCTTGTGACATGACTATGTCCTAGAATGATACACGAGAGGAGTAAGTGCTCCATTAGAAAACACAGTATGTTCAGTCAAGATCCTTCCTAGTGTTGACTCTATTCTCTAGGCCTCTTGAGAAAATATGTGATGGAAGAGAGTTAAGGGCTAAGGATATTTCAAAGTCACTGATACTGATATCAGTTTAAATTTCAACTAGTTTTAAAACAATTTAAAGAAAAAATATAAAAAATACTTAGATTAAAATAGCAAAACTTTGATAATTCTTATGTGAAACAGAATTTTTATCTACCCAAATATTATACTAATCTTTGTTTTACTAATCTTCCAACATTAGAGCTGTAAGGGTTTTTACAAACTAGCTTCCCCCCCTTTTTAATATTTTTTAAGTTGTCAATGGATCTTTTATTTATTTATATGTGGCACTGAGGAGTGAACCCATGGCTTCACACATGCCTGGCAAGTGCACTACCACTGAGCCACAACTGGCTAGCTTTTTCTAGTGTTCTCTTTTGAAAATCAGGTGAATAGTATGAATAGCTCACCAGAAAAACCTGGTGTATGAGGATGGCCTGCCACAGGTGCAAGGTACCCAAAGAAAAAGGGAAGACATATACAGGACTGCACGTAGCACAATTAGTGATCTAGGGGCAAAAGCATGTCTTTGGTAGCAGCAGTAGACAGATCCCTGCACCCCAAGGAAGGAAAAAGGGAATGTACTTGGGCTATTAAAAACTATTAACATATTAAGTGTTGGTAAGAAACAAAATGGGGGCTGGAGCTTTAGCTCAGTGGCAGAGTGCTTGGGTGAGGCACTGGGTTTGATCCTCAGCACCACATAAAATAAATAAAATAAAGCCATGCTGTCCACACCCAACTACAAAAAAGTAAAATAAAAAATAGAAACAAACAGTTTGGGCATCAGTAGCCAGTACAAAACACTAGGCTAAATATCTCAACAACTATCATGTAGGGTTTGAACCGTGTGCAGGGTCATCTGAAAGCAAAATGACAGTTATGATCAAGATGGCTGTCATGTCAAGCTAGATCCTCAAACATGTATAATTTTGCATTAATTTTCAGGGGTTTCAAGGCCTGACTATTCATGGATTCCAGATTTAAACTTCCTCATTTAGTACCACAATCTTATTCTACAGATGGAAAAAAGAGGCACAGAGAGCCTGAATGCTGTATCAAAAACACCATAGAGTGGATGGTTTAGTGCAATGTCAGGGTACCAGCATGGTTGGATTCTGGTGAGGGCCCACTTCTTGTTGTATCCTCACATGACATAGAGGGACCGCCTCATTCATGAGGTCTCCACCCTCATTACCCACATACCTCAGAGGGTCATGTCGCAAGCCTAGAATGACATTGCTTTTCTGATCTGTCCTTTTTGATCGCTCTGCCTATGATCCCCACATAGCACCTGAGATGGGTCTGGCTTTCCAAGATGTCAGTCTGCTAAACAGAAGACATCACTAAGCAACCCCCTGCAATCCAATCCCTTGCCTTATTTGGGTTGAACTTTCTTGAATGTCTTCCCCACAAATAAATAGGAGAGTTTCAGGCATGCTTTTCTCTTTTGCCTGCCTCTCTTGCCTCCTTTGTGGGAGCTGGGGTCAAGAAGCCATCACTGAACCCCAAAAAAGGTATTTTCTGTCTCTGTGTAGTTATTTAGTAGCCAGCCCAATTCACGTGGAGTGATCCCAACTGATTCATTCACGTGTTGCAGCAG